ACCTTACAGGGCTTGCATGGAAAGCTTGTTTCTGACAGTAAGGAAGGAGGGGGCTAGGAGGATAGCTGAGTATCTGGGGAAGGTGAAAGTGAGATGCTGATAGAGATATCCTGACAGCTGCAATGGCTCATCAATAGATCCATCAGGCCAGTAATTTGCAACAAATTTAACATACATCACTTTAGTCAGGCCATGCTAGATCCATCTTGTCATGACATCAGAGCAAATAACACTTAAATCTGGTGTCGCTACTGACCTCTGCAACCTTTGAATTGACACTGTTGTTTGAGCCTGGCCTAGCAGAGCAGCAGATGGAGGAGAGATTAGCACAAAGGAGAAAACAGGTCATAACAATACAAGGCTTAACCCGAGAAATAGTAATTTGTGGATTCCTCCTCTGACACGGTTGCTTAACACATGCCTTCACAGCTTTTATTTCCAGGAAGATGCTTTATTTTATGTAGATGTACACAATAGGAAAAGCCAACATTTCATGAGTCTAGAGCTAAACAGGTTGTTATGCTGAATAATGTGTTTGCTTTCAAGTAATCACATTGTTAAGACTTAGTAATTTCATATGCATAACAACTACAACAGTTTGATTTTGAGCTGAGGCCTAATTGTTTTTCTTTTTCCTTTTTCATGGTGTGTGCACCATGAAAAGCATCATTTTCTAGTTTCTGGGTGCACAGAGCAAAAACATAACATTTGCTTAAAAACTGGGTTTTCTACCTATTTTTCTGATTTACTACTTTAGGAATGTATTTGCTTAAACTGTTTAATCAAAACACAAAGTGCCTTCATTGAGAGAGAAATTCTCCAATTGTTTAACAAGTTTGGAACAATTATAGAAAGACTGAAAAAAGATGTTATAAAAGACTAACACTTATTCATAAGCATAAGAAGCTTTTTTGAGGCATAATTTGACCTCCAAGGCCATTCTATAGAGGCTATGAGTTTAAAAAAAGATGACACAGACCCCTTCAAGCCCATTCTAGCACTGGTCCTCAAAGATACTGTTTTTGCCATTTTGGTATTTTATACAAATCTAGAAGTTGCCTGGTAAAACTGTTAATGCTTTCAAACATAGAAATCATGATGATACCACTGAATTTTATTTAGCAGAAATGGTACACTTAAACATGAATTCACATACTTACATACATACATATAAAAAGGTTAAGTTAAATTTATAGAGGTAAAGTTGAAGCAGATGCATGCAGTCACAACCAATACTTTTTAAAACGTCTGCATCTAATATTTCAATAATTTCTTTTCCCAGCAATGCAGAAATAGAATAATATAGAGATTAAGAACTTCTCTTAGTATAGAAACGATTGTTGGGTGCAGAGATTTTTTTCTCTCTTTTAAATTATGGACTTTTCTTGAGTTGAGTTTTTTCTAAATGAAAAAAAAAACCCCAAAGAATAAATCCAAAGTTTTAATGTTTTACAGTCATATAGGGTTAAAAGATTTTTACTTCCAGTTCCCAAATAGCCCAAAGAAACCTTTGACCTAACTGGGAGCTAGGGTGAAACTCATATTTCTCAAATGGCCAAAAAAATGTTAAAAAGAAAATCAAACATATCTACTCATAAAAAAAGCAATTAAAAAAACCACTGTGGGTGATTTCAAGCCAGCAACCTTCTCTGTACTGATGAAATACCTTAGCCACCATGCTATTTCAGCAAAGCCAGTAAAGGGAGGCATAGAACATATTGGAATGTATCTAAACATTAGCACAGTTGTAGGGATAATTCTTCCTCTGCAAAATCACCAATGAACAACTGAGGGTAGCCTGCAACAAACTAAAGCATTTGTTTGGATAGAACACTCAAATCAACTGTCAGAATCCAATTATATTTCATCTCTAGTTATTAACTATGAAAAACCCCATTCCTGCCTTCTCTGGATTCTGCCATATGATGAAGGGAAAGGGGTGAACAAAGGGCTTTATGGCCCTCACTTCCTTCGGTACACTTCAAAGGAACTGGATGTGTGTATCACCAAAAGGACTAACCATAACAATGGGGCTATTACCTTTCATGTAGTTTTCTCTGAAGTCTCCATCCAGCCGGCAGTAAGAAAAAGGGGGTGGGAGTGTAATGCCTGAGACTGTCGCTGGAAGTAGTGGGTGATTGGGTGGGGCTACTGGGGAACCCCTTAAAACCTTGAATGGGAGAGCTTGGACCCCAAGTCCTGTCCAGAATGCCTGCAACTATTTTCTCTTAATAAAGGATGCCTGTTGGATGAATTATTCCAAGAGTTCTGTCTTCTTAAGATGCAAAGTGGGGTGGGTCCTTACATAATAGAAAAAAGTGTTCTATAGAAGTGGAGCAAAATAGATGGCTTGAGATCACTTGGAAGGGGCTGTAAAGAAATGTGCAGACAATCTTGTTGGAGGAGTGGATAAGCTTTTCAGGGAAGAAAAATGACAACTCAGTCCTGAGAAATCTTGAGTGTGTTTGGTCTAAGAGAAGGGAGAAAGAAACTTTGGCAGGCTTTCAAGATTTTGTTATTATACTCTACAACAATGAGGTAGCATTCTTGTAACCGTAGGGGTGTCTGATCTGTCTGACAAGGATAAATAAAGGGCAACATCATAATTGCTTCCTTCTAGAAATAATAACCTGCCCCTTCTGGTTATCAGACAATAGACAGTTCATATAAACTCTATGTTGATACTTAGAAGTCCCAATGTGTTGGTAAAATCATCCTGGTACCTGGCAGGTTCCCAGACGGACTCGACTCTACTACCCCTTACAAACAAACACATAGAAAAAGAGATGCATGCATATTATCATACTGCAAAACAAAGCACCAGGCATCAGCACCAGGCATGCAGTGGGACCCGCAAAACAAACCATCTGGTTTCTTAGAAAATAAACATGATGGTATATTGCAGCCTAAGCACTTTGGAAGAGTGCTTACCTGCTCATAAAACAACAACAAATAGATTATCAAGAGCATTCTGTAACAGGTTAATAATCCATTGCTTCATTGGTTATATCCTGCCATTTTATGAATGAGAAAATTCTTCCAGCAGCCATTTTGAATATTTATTTATTTATTTATTTATTTATTAATAAAATTTATATGCCGCCCAATCCCTAGGGACTCAGGGCGGCGTACAAAATTAAAACAATAAATATAACAATAAAACAGTAAAATAAGTGCATTCATATGGCATGTCCCAATCGTATCCCGCCCCCCCCCCCGGGGACATCAACCCCAGGCCCAATGTTCAAAGCATTGTCTCAAAATTCCAAATGCCCTTATTAGTCTACAGTGTATGGCCAAATAAAATACTGGGTTTTTAAAATCATATTATTCCTAAAAGGACCATGTGAGCAGTGCTAAAATTGGGGGTGTGGATGAAGAAAAAGAAAACAAATGGCATTTCTTCAGTCTTGCTTTTTGGTTGAATTCCTACTTTTCTCTCCTAATATGTGATTTATCCAGTTTTATTTAATGGTAATTGTGTTTGTTTGCTTTGTGCCCAGTGTTAACTCCTGGCTATTGTCTGGACTACATCTGCAGTTTTCTTGGAAAAATTTCCGAAATGATTTGCCATTACCTGCTTCCTAGGCATGAGAGAGAATGACTCACATAAGTTCACCCAATTGGCTTCATTCCTAAAGTGAAACTAGAACTCACAGTGTCTGGGTTTCTAGCCTGATGCCTTATCCCCTGTACCAAACTGGCACACAGTAATGAAAACACTGATGTGTATATTAGTAGAAAATATATGTAATTCAAAACAAAAGTTTTTAATGCCCGAACAGTGAGAACATTGTAGATCCACTAAACAGTGATGTAAAAGGTAATAAAGTTTATGAGTGTGTTGCAAACAGTGGTTTAGGATAACAGACAAAGCAGACCTTTTACAAACCCCATGTCTCTAATTTTATTGGAGAAAATTAGATACTCAGAATTTTGCATAAGATAAGTGTATTACTGGGATACAATTTGGCCCAGGTTCTTAGCTTTTGTGCATGTGGCTCCTTAATAAAAAGTGTCAGTTAAAATGAAAATACAGCTTGTGTAATTAAATTTAATTGGATCTTGTCAGTTTAAATTTTCTTTGTTTTTGAGTGTTTCCATAGAATTGCAGCTTCTGGTTTTGCTAATTTCTTTATTGCAAGCTGCGCACTGAATGTCTGTGCCCTATAATAAAGTGAGACCTTGTTTTTGTAGAAGATTTTGAACTATGATTGCCATAGCAAACAAAAGATGTGCAAGCTAATTCCATATAGTATGGATGCATAAGGGTAGTGAGAATAGTTTTTTTTATTTTTGTTATATATAATAATGGACTTAGTTAATGCTTGTTTTGTTAGTGTTTAAATCAAATTATTATTATTATTATTATTGAGATCTTATTGCAAATGATGCAGTGTGGTGCATTATAGTGCAGGCACAAATCCTTCCTTCCTTCCTTCCTTCCTTCCTTCCATCCATCCATCCATTCATCCGTCTCTTAATACATATTTCAGCTTGCATATATAAGTCAGAAATCAACCTAATGTCAATGCAAATAATACAATTGTATAGTCTACCAATATGCATAGCTCTCAACTGGAAGGATCATTCTCTGCAAAGATTAAAGATAATTCAAATTCTTTTTTTTATTTATTTCAAAATTCAGAATCTGAAAGCAAGAAGAGAGAAATGAAAGAATACATTTACAGTTGTTTGGAATATTAAGTAGACTGATTATAAAGAATATTAGTCTACCATCAGTTTCCTGGAGACAAATCATAATCTATTTTTTTGGTTCAAATTAAAACCAGTTGAATATATTTATACATCAACATACAAGCACAGTATGAGCATAGCATGATTGCTTTATCTTTCACCACCTAGGCCAACATGTCATACTGCTGAGCTCATAAAGCCACAAAGAAGAACTTCCTTGTTGTTATCTTACAGCTACACATGTTACAATCACCATAGAAATGCTGCTATGAAACTTGAAAACAGAATATCAGCCAAAAAAGCTGATATGCTCTGGCATATTTCTAGAACCCTCATAATTTGCTACCCCACATTATTGAATTGGAAGAAGATTTAATAAGGTATAATCATATGAGGGCAGTTAACAAAATATGCTTTATAAAACATCATGATGTAAACTAATACAACTTCTATCAGGACACAAGTAAGTAATGGAACTCACCATATATGTGCTATTATTTGGATGGTATCTTGGTTTGCTTGTGGGTACCCATGAATATAACGGTTCTGTATACTGTATTGAGCATGATTACTGATATTTATTCTTAATTCAAAACTTAATAGTGGTTCATAGTCTGATATAATGTTATTCTCTTTATTGTTCATATTTAATTCATATGGGAAAACTGTAACCTCTATAATATTTTAATCCCTTATTTAGTCATTTCTTGTTCTTTTTATTTGTCTTTTTTATTTTTTTAAATAGTTCTTTTCTGTATTTAAACAAATATATGGTAATATTCACTACCTAACTCCTTGTAATATTGAAAATATATACAGGACATGGAATCACTAAAATTTGGAGAATGATATTAGTAAAAAATACACAAAAGTACAGAGAGAGAGAAAAAAAAGGAAAGAGAGAGAGAGAGAGAGAAAGAAAATGAAATGACAATCAACTGCCATGTCTTAAATAATAAACAATGTTTTAATTTAACCTAGTATGACGCCCCAACAATAAAACGAGAAACATATTTGACCTATCAATATTGTCAAATATGATTGTTTTTTCTCTATGAGAATCTGCACAGTTCAACTAATGTGAATCAATAAAGATCACCATATTCTCAGAGCTGAATGATCAGTCGCTGTACCACCAAGATAACACAAATCCTAGATTCACAGCCTCAATGTACAACTAATAATAACTCCATCATTGCCATAGTTTGACTGAACTTTATAAGAGTGTTTAAAAGTTTGTAAATTACAGCAAGACACTGAAAATTCTTCCTGATTATATGACTGGGAGCTAGCCAAGATAGTTGCAGCATCAAAACTCATGTACTGTATTTATGTCTATGTGTATATATTTTATAAATATATTTCTTTTCCACTTCCACTTTGCATCTTAAGAAGACAGAATTCTTGGAATAATTCTTCCAACAGGCATCCTTTATTAAGAGAAAATGGTTGCAGGCGTTCTAGACAGGACTTGGGGTCCAAGCTCTCCCATTCAAGGTTTTAAGGGGTTCCCCAGTAGCCCCACCCAATCACCCCCTTCCAGCGACAGTCTCAGGCATTACACTCCCATCCCCTTTTCCTTACTGCCAGCTGGATGGAGACTTCAGAGAGAACTACATGAAAGGTAATAGCCCCATTCTTATGGTTAGTCCTTTTGGCCATATCCACATTCAGTCTCTTTGAAGTGTACTGAAGGAAGTGAGGACCATAAAGCCCCTTTGTTCATCACCTTCCCTTCCCCATATGGCAGAATCCAGGGAAGGCAGAAATGGGGTTTTCTATAGTTGATAACTAGAGATGAAATATAATTGGATTCTGACATCCTGCCCCCTTAAAAAAAACAGATCCACCTGAAAGAAAACAAAACAGGTATAAAAGTTAGTCAGGCTTGTTAGGGTACTCTGTGTGAAACTTCTTTAATAGCTTCGGGGCTCTGACATGACGTTTATGGGCCCACTCGTTTTGTGAGGCAGGGAGGTGTTTCCAGGCAAAGGTACTGAGTCGCTCAATGATATCTCCTAGAGTCAAAGATTTCCTTTATTTCGAAATGTTGTTCACCCTCCACCACGATTGGAGGTGGTGGGGGGGGGGGGATTTTTGGCCGTAGAGGTGACTGATGCTCTCTTTTCAGCAAGCTGCAATGAAAAATTGGGTGTATTTGCCTGAGATTTTTGGGTAATTCTAATTCTACTGTTACTGGATTTATGATTCTTTTAATTGGAAAAGGTCCTATATATTTTGGTCCAAGTTTTTTACAGGGCTGTAGGGACTTTAGGTATTTTGCAAATAAGTACACCATTTCTCCTATAATGAATGGTGTAGGCTCAACCCTTTTTTATTGGCTTGTGCTTTGTATGCCTGCCAAACTTCATCTAGTGCTTTTCTAACTATTGGCCAGGTGTCTTGTAATTGTTCCATCCATTCTTTCAGTGATGGGATCATTGGTTTGTTTCGGGTTAATTCTGGCATGGGGTTAAAACTTTGACCGTTGGCTATTTGAAAAGGAGTGTAACCTGTGCTGGAGTGGACTGCATTATTGTAGGCAACTTCTGCAAAAGGGAGTAAGTCCGTCCAATTATTTTGCTGGAAATTCAAAAAACATCTCAAATATTGCTCAAGTACTGAGTTCATTTTTTCAGCCCCCCCATTCCACTGAGGGTGGTGGCTGGATGTCAGTCCCTGAGTGGTTCCTAAAAGGGATAAAAATTCCTTCCAAAATGCAGATGTAAATTGCACTTCCCTATCAGAGATGATGCGTTGGGATGCCCCGTGCAATCTGTAAATATGCTGGACAAGAAGTTTTGCTAAGACTTTTGCAGTGGGAATCTTTTGGCAAGGGATAAAGTGCACCTGTTTGGAAAACAAGTCTGTGACCATCCAGACATCAGTATTCCCATTGCTTTCTAGCAATTCCACCATAAAATCCATGGCTATTTCCCTCCAGGGTGCTGAGGGATTTGCCACTGTTTGTAATAGTCCTGGTGATTTCCCTTGCAACCTCTTTGCAGTAGCACATTTTGGGCAGCTGGCTACATAACTTTCTATGTCCTTTTTTATTGATGGCCACCAAAATTGCTGTTTAATCAAGTGTAAAGTTTTTACAAATCCAAAATGCCCTGCTGATTTTGTGTCATGTTAAAGCTGCATGAAAGTGACTCTTTGGTTGTTGGTATATATAACTTTTCCCCTACCCAAGGCAATCCGTCTCTCATTGTGCACACATTTTTGTTTTTCTGGAACTATTCATCTGTTTCCAAACTTGTAATCCAAATGGCAAGACTTTGAATTGATAGCACCCCATGGGGCAGTTAAGTGCGGTCTTCCATTCATCCCCTTCCTTAATTCTCACACGATAGTAAGCTTCCCTTAGTTCTAGTTTAGAAAAAAAAATTCCCTTTCGAGAGGTGTGACAGCATGTCTTTCATGAGGGGCAGAGTGTATAGGTTGCTTTCACTGATTGTATTCAGGGCCCTATAATCCACGCATAAGCGTAAAGAGCCATCCTTCTTCTCTCTAAAGAGGACCGGGGCACCCACTTTAGGCTTGGCTGGCTCAATGAACCCTCCCTCTAGGTTTTTTTTAATGAATTTTCCATTTCCTCCTTCTCCTTTGGGCTCATGGAGTATAATCTGGGCTTTGGGAGTTTTGCCCCAGGCTTGAATTCAATGGCACAGTCTGTGGGTCGGTGGAGGGGGAGGAGCTCATCCGCCCTCTCCTCACTGAAAACTTCAGCAAGGTCTCTGTATTCCTCTGGTATTTATGTTAGTCCATTTTCCTCTCCCATGGATGCTTTTTCTATTCTTGATTCTGGTAGCCCCCCTTGGGATTTTAAGTCCATAGGGTCCCCCTTCGGGAATTTGATTTCTGTCGTCCTCCAATTTACCCAGGGTTTCCATTTTTTTAACCATTCCATCCCTAGGATCATTGGGCATTCCATGCCTGGGGTCACCACAAACGTTATGTCCTCCTCATGTTTGCCCAGGGAGAGGTGTATTGGTAGAGTGGCTAGGGTAGCTGGCACCCCCCCTCCTATGGATCCATCTATCTGGCCAAATGAGATTGGTTGTTCCAGTCTCCTCGATAGAATGCCCAGATTCCCCACTAGTGTCAGGCTAATGAGGCAGCGGGTGCAGCCAGAGTCTATTAAGGCTTTCACCTTCACGACTTCGGGCATGGGGGGAATTAATATAGTCACTGTTTTGAGGATGGGTGCGATGCGTCCACTTACCAGGGGTTCACCCTCCGAGCTGTAATCTGAGGCGTTCACTGGCCCTGCGGTGTAGGCTGGAGTTCTTTCCCCCTGATGAGCAGAGGTGGGGGGTTCCACAATTTCCATTATTCTCATGGCCATTTCTTTTGGCTTAGCTGAAGACTTTCCGGATTAGCTGATTGGGGATCTGTCTGGGTTGTGCTGGGGGGCTTTGGAGCGGCATTCTACAGCTCGATGCCCTTCTCTTCCGCACTTGAAACACCCCATTTGCTTCTTGGCTGTAGCCAATGGTTTCACTCGTTCGTGTGTCAGCTCAGGCGGGGAGCGGTTCCATTGTTTTCCTTAGCGGTGTCTCTTCAATATGTCGATCTCTGCTTCCTCTGCCAAGACATACCATTCCTCAAGTTGGTGTGGGTCCCCTCGGGGCAGGCAAGCATCATATAAGTCATAATTTAGTCCGTCTTTGAAATGGCTAAGGAGGATGTCTTCTGGCCAGTTCAGTTTGCTGGCAATGGCCCAGAATTCTTGTGTATATTCAACCACTCGGAGTTTGCTTTGCCTCATCATTTTTATCCTTTTGCAGGCTTTGCAATCAGCCAGGGGGTCTTCAAATTGTCTTCTCAGAGAGGACATGAAACAGTTGAAGTCGTTGAGTTCCGGGGCATTGGAGTCGTGCAAGTTCACCACCCAATCTGCAGCCGGTCCGTCCAGGGCAGATTGCACGATCCAGATGCGGGCTTTGTTGCTGGGGATGTCCTGCCCGTATTGCTCCATGTAGCTGAGGACTTGGGTTAGGAAAAACCCCAAGCGTGTTGGCTCCCCTTTGAATTTCACCTCCAACAGTGGACGTCTTGGAATGGATTGGTGCCTCTGTTGCTGGTGGTAGTGTCTTCTGTCCAGATCGCCATCTGTGGTTCGGCAGGGGGTGGGGACTACTGGATCAGCAGATGTCCCTGGGGCTGCAGGTTCTAGTTCTCCCTCGATGTCTCTCCCTTTGCGGCTCCAGGACCTGGGGCAGCCGTAGGGCTCAGGATTCTCCTCTCCTAGGGAGCTGAGAGTTCTCTTCATCAGATCAATAGCTTTCTCTAGGATCCAGTCTGAGTACGGTGCCCAGCTTTCTCCCTCTTCACTTGCATGCAGGGAGTTCTCCATCTCCTGCTTCCATTCTGGTTGCTTGCCCCCCCCCTGTCTCAGGGTCACCTTTCTTGATTCCTTTCCCCACTCACTTTTCTTTCCAATGCCCATTGACCATC